GTTGTAGAGTATGTCGAACTACCCTTGTGTACGAATTTTGAGCATCACACGACTTCGGTAACGAAAATTCGAAGTTTTCGATAAATGTCTCATAAGCTGTGATCATATGCACTAAAATCCACGTACAAACTTCGAATTTTCGTTACCGAAGTCGTGTGATGCTCAAAATTCGTACACAAGGGTAGTTCGACATACTCTACAACATGGGCTACTCGAGAACACGATACGAGAAGTTTTAAGGGGAGTTTCGGGCAAAAACCGATTTCTAGAGATTTTGGTTTTTGGCCTCCCTGGCCAGGCTTGAAGTTTTATAAATTTTCTGATTGTGTAAGGGTGTAGAGAAATGTTTGCTCTATCAAACTCATGTCATACGGCGACTCCATGCTATAAGAACTTTCGGCGCTAAGCTCACTTAAAGAAGTTTCACCGCTAGGTGGCGCCAGAAGCCGGTGCGACCTGCTTGAATGTTACATTTCCTGATAAAGTTATCTTTTCTCTTTCTAACAACGCAAACCGCGCGTCTGTAGCTACTTCCGCTGAGAACTTATTCAAGTAGCAACGAACTGCATTGAAATGGATAGTAAAACGAAAACAATTTTACTTAAAAGAAACTAGAATTTTGTCAAATGTTCATTTTGTTTCTAGCGTACATATGCATCCATATATAATCCAGACTAGGTTGGATGAGAAAAGAGATCACAAGAAAGAACTAGACATTTAAATTATACTAAATAACAAAAAATAGTATTCAAACAATTCTGGAATGTTAAATATATCATATCAGATTAAAATATAAGACACTTTATTTAAGTTTAAATCGAAATATTTTGGAATTATTCTCTTCCACTAACAGAGTATCGTAATCTTCAAGAGGATTATCCAAATCAATTTGTGAATCATCATCCATTGTATATAAACCATATGAATTTTGTTCATCATTAATTTGAAATTTTTGAAATGCAGAATTGAATATATCTCTTGTTAACGTTTTTAAACTACATGGTAAATCAATTATCTGTAATTTATATTCAATTTGACATTTCATGTTTGTTGTACATAAAAATTCAAATTCAAATTCATTACTATTTGTATCAATATCTTCACCTATTACAAGTGTATCATCAATAATTGAATCACCATCAAATAACTGATAAAATTCACCATTTTCATTGAATAACATACACGCTATTTCACATAGATGTTTAATTTTTAACAGTTTTGAACAATTAAATTTAATTAAACATTGATTTTTATCTCTAATTCGAATTGTTAATGGTAAATTTTCATTGATTAATGAAAAAATTATTGTTTGACTTTGAAACGATTGTAAAAATGAAAATAATTGAAGTTCATTTGCTGGAATAAAATCTTTTGAATGCATAAGATACTGTGTCGACGGAATCTTAAATAATTTGTAAACATTATCGATCAATGAATAAATCGGAAAACGTTTCATATAGTGGCTCGGTTGATCGTTATCGTCGATAACAATTAATTGTTCTGTTTTGGGCGTATTTATTGAAACTGAACATGTTTCATTTTCTTTTAATAGATAAAATTTTGTTTCATTTATATTTGAAAGTAGCTGATGAGAATCTAATATTTCCATTGTTGTTGTACTAGCCAAATAATGATCATTCACTTTTAAGACTAATGTTAGTATTTGTTCAATTGTTACGTTTCTATTTGATATTGGTTTTTGTGTTATAGTCTTTTCAATGTATCGTTCGATAGTTATTAATGTTGATATTCGAAAATTAAGTTGTGAATTTGATGATAAATATTTGCTTACAGGTTGTTGAAAATCTTCTTGTCCTTGAAGAATTTGCTCTTCGTTTTCCGTGCCATTATCTAAAACTAGTACACAATCAGTGGGAGATGTTTGTATTTTTAAATATTTTAATGTCTGTTCATTGTATAATAAATCACTAATTAAAGTTGGCTTCAGTGTACCAATACAGTACGAATTTGATTCATATTCAAATTTGACTTTTATTAAATCATCAACGCTTACACCATCAACATATACAAACTGATGTTCTTCAGTTGTCACTAATTCATTTTTACTTTCTTTTAATATAGACGATATTGTATCGACTATTTCAACCAAACATTTTTGATTTCTGTTCCAAAACTGATAATTAATTGAATCTGCTATTTCTGTTACTGGTATTGTCATTAACCATTCTCCAATTTGTTGAAATTTGGTCGAAGGGGAAAACAATTGCGGATGTTCGTTACCTGGAATAAAGGAGGAGAACGTTAACGAAAAAGTTTATAGAATAAAATGAAGTGTAAAGTATAGTATGTACTATTAAGAGTTGTGGACAAAATTTCATCGTCCCATTTTGAAAGAAGCAGATGCCGTTTTTCGTACTACCACTTGTGATGCTACTTATTCTTGACAATGATACACCGACATTTCCACGAACGACTTTTCCACGAACGACGTTACTGCGAAGGCTGATTGATTGTAAAAGAAGAATCAATGAGCCTGATTTTGTATTTTTTATATCATGTTGATACAAATACAGATATACAGTTTCATTGCTTATCGTGCTTTGATCGGTTTTCTCTTCGGTGCACGATAAACTGAAGCTCACTGTTTATCGGCATTAGTTTGTATATAATCAGGATTTTTATAGCAGTGCAGAACCCGTGACACGATATTTCCGCGAACGACATGAAGCTATGTGGCGAATAGTCATTATGCGGTACAGTCACAGATATACAGTTTCGCATCATGAAAATATGTTTTGTGTGAAACTACTTTTAGAGCTCACTCTTACACTGCCCCCTCCTCACCTTCCACGAATACTGTCAAAAATATCCAAATGTGTACTGTGAAAAATTTGTGGAAGAGTCAGGGTCCTGTTCGTCGTAATGTCGTTGGAGGAAATGTCGTGTCACGTTACAGTTACTTGTGATTGCCAAATAACGATAACGATGAGCGAAAAAATTAAGCATTATTCTACTAACGATAACTGAGTTACTCGTTTCAAAATAAACAGTTACTCTTACTTTGGGTTACTGTTCAGTTAGTCTTAAATTACAGTTAAAAGTAACTTACAAACTGAAAAGTAATCCACGATAAGTGGATAGTCATTAGTTTAGAAACGTTTCGGTTCTGTATGATGGAAAAACAGATCGAAGATGATCTTTTAGTGGTAGGGATAATCAGGACAGTGAGGAAATCATTGGTACACTGGAGCGAGCGACGATGGTGGATGATCAGTGAATCATATTACATACAATTTAAATAAAAATATACAAAAAGCGATGATAATAAGCGCTAACTCCCTTCACGTTTGCGCTTAGAAAATATTACAGAAAAAGATATTTGGACCGATGAGTATTCGAACGTCAGCTCTGCTTCGTGATAGTCGACGCTCACAACCACTGGGCTATTTAATTGATATGATCAAGTGTGGAACTGCATCCAGTAGCAAGCAATAAAATCCATATTAATCCTCACTATCATCACTTATTGGGTATTCGTAGCGTTAAATTCGTTGTACCTCATCCAAACTGCGCAATGAAAGTTTGCTGTTTCTGCATCTACTTTTCCATACTTATCTCCAAAAGACCATGTATATGCAAAAGTAGACTAATTTCGCCTTTCACACTATGTCTTACACATGTAGAGTCCGGCGAAAGGAACGTTCTTGTTGCCCAGAGCTTGTGAGCCCGAATCCACGTCTACTGGTGTAAAAAGTATAGGGCTTTCTGATACGCATCGTTTACCTCGTATATTTAAAGGAATAATATCGGCAATGTGTAGCTGTGCAACACAACTGCGGCGTGTAACTTTTTTAATTTTTTCTGTCGATAAAGGAAGGAGAACTGAAGAAGCAAAATATAATTTATCAGCAATGTACAGACGAATGCGGGTTGAGTCTGTCCCGCAGGATTCTGCATAATGATCACCTCCTCGACTATCTTGCTGTTTCAACTTATCATAAGCAAAAACTTCTACGCACATTCATTAACGCCTTCATTATCAATCTATGGTTTTCTGTTAAACAGCAGTTAAGCAGACAAACAAACAAGTCAAAAAAAGTAATCTGTTTAAGAAAAAAATCCGAGAGGATTTTCTGAACTTCTCCAGACAGTTTTCGACGTTTCAGTTACATAGCAAAGACAGATAAAAAAAACGGTCTTATTTTCGATCTTATTCACGATCTTATTTTCGTGTTCAATACAACCTCATATGGTTATTACCTTGCTTTGATCGCGCAGTTATCTGACAAAGATCATCATTCACGTCTTCTACTACTGTTAAATAAATCGTATCATTATTTCCACGATGCATTCTATTAATCGGTTCACATTCAATACATTTACCCAATTGATCAATTAAATAAAACATGGTTGTTATATTAACATCTTCAATAAATCGTAAAACGATAGTGGAAATATTCGTATCACTTTTAGCTTCATAGTGCAATGAATCGCGTTTATAGCGAATACTCACATTGATCAACGATGATCTTTGAATCACTTGATATTCTAGTAATGTTTGCTTCTGGATAATTTGATTGAAATCGACAACAATTTGATCACTATCAACTACAAAATGTGTTGTCACATCATATTTCTGTTCGTCAAATGATTTTTTAAGGAACTCATGAACTTTATCTAATTTACGCAGTGAAGATACTGGTTTTTTACTGGCATCATCAAATTTAAGAATAAATTTTTGTGCTTTTGTTACGGGAGGAAGGAGTGTTTCTTGTTGTTTTTCCATAATTTTTTTAATTAGCAAACAAGATGATAGAGGGACAGATTGTAAACGTAATTCAAATAATGACAGATGTTCATGACGATCATCTGTTGTTTTAGGACTTGTATTTAATAGATTAGTTGTAACTCCATATTTTTTAAATATGTTTGGATCAATTATTGATGGATCATTGTGCTCTTCACCATTTCCATCAGTAATATTCGAAATATTTCTCTCATTCAAATCATCATCCATCATTGTTGTTGGTACATCTATTTGACACAATAGATCTAACGTTGCTCTATCATCAAATGTATCCCAAAAAATTAAATTTTGTTCTGTTGGTGCTGTTGCTGTTGTTTGTAAAAGAATTGGCTGCTGTTGTTGTTCTTCTTCATTTAAATACTGTTGAAAACGATTTTTTACTGGTTCATGTTCTTCTTTCTTGACAAATGACTCACTCCATAATTCAGTTTGCATTTTGGCTTGTTTTTCTTCAAGATTTATTAATAATTCTTGTAATTTTGATCGTTGTCTAGTGAGCAGAATGCTGATATAGAGATAATTTTCACATTTAATTCCATTGGGTATTAGACTTAATAATGGATTTGATATTGCCATTATTTGGCATGTTTCCGCTAATGATTGAGTTGATTGTTGTAATAAAAAGTATTCAATTTCTTTTAAATCATTTAATAAATCTGTTATTGTTTGTATAGAGGATTGAATTACATCCGTTGTGGTATAATCACTATCCAGTACATTTTGAAACATTTGATTTATTTCATTATTTAATTCTTCCGTTATTGGCATACGTAAAAGTTGAGGCATATCAGAAAATAAATGTTCAAATCCACTAATATTTTTTTCATATAGCATGCGTATAGAATTAATATAACATAGTTGAAAATCTTTAATATCAAGTTGTTCTAATTGTTCTTTTTGATTTTCTTCCAATGAATAACGTTCAAAAAATTCATATGCATACATTTTAGATAAATTGAGTTCTTCGTTTTGTTTTACTTGATCTTCTAACATTAATGAGAGACGTTTGATAATAATGAGACATTGATATAATTTATCTAACATCATTTCGGATAAATGATTCCATCGTGTTTCTAAATCATTTTCATTTAATGGAATTGAATATTCTTCACCAATTTCATACGTATTATTTGTTGTTAATTTTATTTGTGTTTTATGTATATGACAAGTATATTTAGTGTGAATGTGATCATAGTTGATTGGTGATGATAATAAGTATGTTCGAATGAGATAAGATTGAACATAACGATAATCAAAGTTTAATTGAGAATCAATTTTTTGAAAATATGCATTATCATCGTCAGTTATTAAACTGGCTTCAGCTATCCGTTCGATCCACAAACAATCATTATTATTTAACGATATGACACCGTTATTGTCACGAGCTATTTGAATAATGGACACTTTTTTTGATGATAAATCATTCACTAAATTTTTCAATATAAGACTATGTTGTGAATTATCCTCACTATTTAACTCTTTTTGAATTGTATCTAATAAACCATTGTGATGATTAACGAGAACACTAAATGAAAAATAAAATGTCACATATCGGTAGAATTTTTAAAACACTTTGCAACTTAATCAGACAATTGTTTTTAAAAGAATTACACTATACAAATGTAGAATGTACTCCATCTACACTCATATTGTAGTAAACGAGTCCGTTTGGTATGAACTGCAGCTCAGTTCGATTTCAATTCGGTGTATTTATCGGAGGCGGCAGATTTAGTTGCTATTCTTCTGAGAAGACTTAGCTGTGATTCATGATTTTGTGTGCATACCGTTAAACAAAACAATGATGGATTCAGAAAACTTTTTTGATGGTGATAACTGAACGAACTTGTTACTGCTAGACGAAAAAATAAAAGCATTTTTTTTTCCTGAAAAGTATCGTGATATTCAGTATAATACCCCATCAATCCACTACTACTATTAGAGATGTTACAAGGCTAGCGATCAAGCATCGAAGATCACATGTTTTCATTATTCAAAACCTCCAAGCTCTACCGAGCTTTCATGTCAAACGTAATCAGTTTTCTATGCTGTATCCGAAACTAATGCTAGGACTAGTCAAAATCAATAAAAAAGTATCGGGCTTGGTAAAGCTTGGTGAAAAATGACCTTTATCAGTATTTTTTACACGGGGAAACACCAGACTGAAATCAGCCCAAAATAAGTCGAAAATCACCCAAAATCAATTGATGTTCACTGATTTTCAGTGATTCTCAGTGATTCTCTGTAATTCTCTGTGATTTTCAATAATTTTCAGTCATTTCCGGTGACTTTTAATTTGGTGTAAATCGATGAACAGCAGAATCAACAAAGATAGGTGAAAATCGAAAAATCAGCTGTTTCCCCCTTGATTTTTTAACAAGTTCTACCAAGCACGGTACTTTTTTATTGATTTTGACTACTCCTCGCATTACTTTCGGATACAGCATAGAAAACTGGTTACGTCTGACATAAAAGCTCGGTAGAGCTTGGGGGTTTTGAGTAATGAAAACATGTGATCTGTGATGCAAGGCATCAAGGCTTATAACATTCCTAACTACTATCAGCTTCAAAATGCAATGCACTCGGATGTTTTTAGAATAACGTTTGAACGAAATGAACTCAAACGTTCTTCATAGTTTTGTTAAGGGTACCCCTCCGCTCATTTTAGGCTTTCCGTAAAAATGCTGTGAAAATAAAAACTAAAAGTCACTAAGGCTTCATATTTTCAGAACTGATTGGAAACTCAATGGAGCACTTTTCGTTTTTGTTTCAAGTTTGTAACTATTGCCGTTCACTAGTTTTCCAGAAAACTTGATTTTTCATGGGACCACGTTATGATCCCCTTTAAATTTCACTCAATCGAGTTAAAAATTTTACCAGAGGTACTAAAGGTCATAGCGCAGAGGTATAATATTGGAATTTTCTTTTAGACCTTTCTTTACTGAGTTATAGGGTACCGAAAAACTTGTCAAACCAAGTTTTTCAATTTTTTAGAAACTCTATAACTTGGTAGAGAAGGTCTGAAAGAAAATGCCAAAATTATATCTCTGCGCTATGACCTTTAGTACCTCTGGTAAAATTTTTAACTCGATCGGACGAAATTTAAGACGAAGTGTAATGTGGTCCAATGAAGTCCGGTAGCAAAAAGATAGTTTTTCAAAAAAAACGCATTTTATGCATAGGCCGCTTTTTAAAACCACTAAATGCATTATAACACTTTTTTTCTTCTTCAATAATATCTGATTATAATAATATTAAAATAGCATCATCTTATTTAATTATAATTCAAAAGCTTAAATAAAGTGATATCAGTCAACAACTTGTACTCGTACTTAGCGTTTTTTCCAGAAAAAACGCATTTTGTGCATAAGCCACTTTTTTCAGGTCATTTGCCACGATACTTATATCTCCACAAAAATTTATCGCAAAATTCTGAAAAATCTCTCATTGTGAAGAAAACATTTCATTCTATCCGACTATGTGTAAGAAAACTTTTGAATATACAGAAAACGAGAGAAAACTTTACGAAACTAAACGATTGACTTTTTTTAGGCTTTGAAGGAAAAAATTCAAAACGCATAACTTTTCGAAGAAAGATTGTGGAGTGACCCACACTTTCCTCTACATGGCTATGCTCAGCTCAAAATCCGAAGTTTTTTCAAAAAAGAGGGGGGTGGGTACCCTTAAGCATTACCGACAGTCAAAATAATCGAAAAAATTATTTTCTTCGATTCGGTTTTCTGGAAAGTCGTGCAACAGCCCGGTTCTTCCAACAGAAAATCTTTGTAGTTTAAAGTGATGTATGTATAGAATATACCTGTCTGAGTATATTCTGTGAATTTGATGCATTTTGGTCAAATATTATGATGGCTTTGAGTTTTTTTATTTATTACGACTAAAGCGGTAAATCCGTATTTTCTTTAAAACTTTTCTTTCTAACCTTTTCCAGTTTTAGTATTAAAAGAGATTCAGTTTGGTCGATAATCTATGTTTTCACTTATTTTCAGAGTTTCCCGACCTGAAAATGAGGGATTAGGTGGGTCTCAGCAAAACGCCTACGGTTATCGAACGAGAAAAGATAGACTCGCATAGTTTTGTAGTGCAGATGCTGCTCCATCTAGGTGTAAAAAAAAAACAAAAATTTTATTTAGGATCCTTTTCACCACACTGCCGGATATTTTGTCCGAGGAGGTACACTGCCTAGAACTGAGAGTTTTCAGTTGATTTTTAGGTCGTTCGATAGCCTCATGAATTTACTTCAAAAAAGTTAAAAATCGAATCCCTTTAGCACGGTTCGTTCAAACGTTAATCAATAGATATCCGAGTGCGCTGTTTTTGACGTCGGCAGTAGAATGAAATTTTGCCTTAAAATTTTAGAAAACTAATAAAAGCAGAAATATGAGAAATATAAAATTTATGAACCTTAGTATCCGCCATACAATATCTCCTTCGTCATGATTGCCAGTTGTTACAATATAACTTAATGGTGTATCAATGGCAATTGATGTAAAACGTTGAGTTTCATCACAAGCACCAGGCTGAATAAGACCATTTGTGAACGAATAATAAGTGTTGACAGCTTTAATTCCATTTTCAATAATTAACCATTGTGTATCTGAATTATGAGTTCGTTCATGATGTTTTCTTCCAATATAATACAATTCTTCCAAGGTTATAGATGAAAATTGTTTTGATTCGATTAATTGTGCATAAGTTTGATGTAATAAAATATAAAATTGACTAAGATCATAAATAAGTGAAGTCATTTTCAAAAAATCTTTTGAATCAAGTACATGATGAAGAATTGTTAATAGTAAACTAGCATTTTGTGGATTCCGTAATTCTGTTATGAAATGTTGATATTGAACATGGACTGGAGTATTTGAAATGAATTCTTGTAGATTTGATTGAATTTCAGATTGTAGACGTAAATCGTTAAGATAAGCTTTATATGATGGTAACTGCTGATGAACACGATAAAACACTTGACTTTGGAACTCTTGTTCAGCTTTTAATTCATCATTCAATGTCGTATACGTAGGTTGAATCCATGAATTTTGTACTTTGTTCAATGTTAAATAGGCAAATTGTTCAAAACAACGATTTAAAACAATTGAAGCATCATCTTTATTTGAACGTATCGATAAAAAGTTTATTGTTGCCAATAGTCGAGCACGAACAAAATGACATACACGTATTCTTTCATTATTTCCAGCAATACGATGTACAGGATCATTATTATCAACAGCATGTTTAGCCAAAATCGGACCATACAAATTAGAAACAGAGTTTTCATATAATAATAAGTGCCAAGCCATTGCTCCGAACGTTGCAAAGTAAGCAACATAAATTGCAGGAACATTTAAAGATTGTGCCGTTCCTTTGTTAGCAAATTGTATCAAAGCCCCATCTTCACTTAGGATACAGCCACAATCATAGTGAACACCATTTGCTTGAATTATTTTTATCAACAATAATAATAAAATGTAATTGGAATTATTTGTTAAACTTATTAAAATCACAATTTTTTCAAGTAAAAGTTGATCGTATATGGTCATCCAATCTTCATCGTTTACTAGAAACAAAAGAAAACTCATTACAGAATAAATATTTACAATTATGCGATCAAATTCAATTTACATTATCTACCAACGTTAGTGATACACTTATATTTCCAAAACTACATCAATTTTATCATAGTTTTAGTCAAATATTTACTGTATGTGTTAATGATACTACTCAACAACGATGGAAAGCTCTCACTGATTGGTTTCAACTACAATTAAATTCTAATCCACCATTATCAGCATTAAACGAAATAAAAACAGTTTTATTTTTAAAAATTTACTATAATTATTATTGTAATAATCAATTATCTTTGTTAAACATGCTATTAGAAACAATTGAAAATACATTACAGTTATCAACAGAGGAATTACAAGTATTTCGTGTTATATTAAAACCACAACAGTTTATGATTGGCTATAATGCTACAGTTGATGAAGAACAAAATTTTCTCAGAAAACTATTTCAACTTGATTGCCAATCTCTCGATGAATTATCAATTAGACATGCACTTGTCAATCTAATGGCAATGATTATACTAGGCGGAAAAGATAATTTCCTGTGGTCATTTGCATTTCACCCATTATCATTAGAAAATACATACGGTAAGTAAAGTCACTTGAGCCATAATTCATATCTTCAGTTTAAGGCAACTAGAAATCGCGAAAAGCTAATAGAGAAGCGCTTTTGACTGCCGATAGTTTCTATTCAGAAGAAATTAAAGGTGAACATAAATTCTGATTGTTTTCAGACTCTCTTTCTAATGGAAGGATTTAGATGCAGTTTTTTGAAAAAACAACCAAGGGAAACGTGTTTTTCGACATGATGGTTTCTGAACAACAAATGTCCCAAACTGAAAAAAGGAAAAACTCAGCTTTGCAAATTTCCAGAAAACTTACATCAGATCACCACACAAATGAAAAATACAGTTTCAGTTTCTGAAGTCGTTTTTTTAGAGCGTAAGAATTAATGGTACACTTCCTCTCTTTTTTGACTCACTTAAAACCCCGAGAAACCGATGTTTGATCAAGATGAAATTTATACCAGAGATAACGCACCGAAAAAGAAAATTGATTTAGTTTTGCCTAGAATTTTCTGATATACTCACTCTTCTATGGATTTTCTGGAAAACTCCAGTTTTCATCCAGTCACATTACGATCCCTCGAAACAATGGTCCGATCGATGTGGAAATTTTACCACAGATACTTTACATTCTATCTCAGATTCGTTTTTTTATTTT